CAAATATATGAGACTGGTGCTCTGGAGGTCATCATTTAAACAGAAGTGCTACAGGCAAGTCTGTCAGTTACCTCAGTACCAAATTACAGTCACTGAAATAACATTCCCTGAACTCCCAGATGTTGTTACACCAACGACCTGTGTATGATCCATACTCATGGAGTGTTTGTACTTCCTGGTCATATCAGTTGTTCCTTTATTCAATGTGCACCAGATTTTACTGGTAGAACTATTGAACACAAGATTATCCCATGGATTATTATGTTAATGAATAGAAAGAAATATGTGTGACTATGAGATGTGAAAATTAGCTATATAAAAGAACATTTTAAAAAAACTATTTTGAATTTTGCCTCAAAAATGAAATACATGAACAAAATTAATTCTGTAACAAAATAAATTGATTGAAAGTGTCCCAATATTTATACTTCTGTTTTGTCTTGTTGTTCATTTGTTATTCACCAGTTATCTAATGTAGCAATTTTCTCACTTTCTTTCCAGATTCTCAGTAGCCTTTCTCCACCATACCCCACCACACCAATTCCAACCTCACTATTTCTGAAGGGGAAATGCCTACACAGAAGCCATGTATCTCTTACTGGGAGGCGAGGCAACTGGATGAAGATGTTAAATCAAGTTACTCCTACAGGTTGTTCTCTCAGAGCCAAAAAGAAGATACATGGTCAGGAGATTGAACATGTACCGTTTACCCTTTTGGCTTGGTCATCCAAAGAGCATGGCCAGGGATATTGAAAATGGTGATAAGTTCTTCTTTGGAGGTTATACATCATTAAAGTAGAAGGAGACTTTGAATTCTTTCCAAAGTTTCTCAGCAACATGGAAATTAATAATTTTAAGTTACATTTCTGTGACTGCGCCCACCGATTTCAATTAAATATACTCTCAAAGCACAAAAATGCATGACTCATACACTTTGTCAGATTTCAACTTGGCCATCAAAAGGGCTCTCAAGTCACAAAGGAAATAAAAGACCTGCATTGTTTCTCCTCGAGGAAGACTTTTCAAAATCCAAAGCATTAGTACCAAAAGTGCAGCTGAAGAGCTTGCCCTCATCCCCAGTACCTCTGTGAGGAGCGTGAGGTGGAATTTATTGACTATAATGGAAAGTAAATGACTCAACTGAGATGATACTATGCTAATGGAAATAGTGTAATGAGCATTGTGAAAAGTAACACTAAGGGAAATGGCCTTGCATAACAGATAAATAGTAATAGAAAATAGGAAATAGGAGAGGTAGACCATTCAGCCCTTCAAGCCTGCTTCACCATTCAACATGATGATGACTGATCATCCAACTCAGTACCCTGGTCCTGATTTCTCCCCATCCTCTTCGACCCCTTTATCCCGAAGAACTATATCTAACTCTGACTTGAAAAAATTCAAAATATTGGCCTCATCCCCTTCCTATGGCAAATAATAACTGAAAGAACTGCAGATGCTGTAAATCAGGAACAAAAACAGAAGTTGCGGGGAAAGTTCAGCAGGTCTGGCATGACTTTCTATGGCAGATAATTCCACAAGCTCACCACTCTTTGGGTGAAGAAATTTCTTTGAACCTGAATCCTAAATGACATAACTATCACCCCGGCTCTAGAATTTCTGGTCATTGGGAACATCCTTCCTCCATTTATCCTGTCTAATCCTGTTCTATGCAATCCAACCCCCACACCTGCCCCCGACACTCAATTCTTCTAAGTTGCAGTAAATATATTCCTTACGATTCAGTCTCTCTTCATACATGAGTCTGCCATCCCAGGAATCAGTCTTGTAAACTTTTGTTGCACACAATATTCCGAGTATGGGCTTACCAAAGCCCTGTACAATTGCAGCAAGACATAGCCTATTTCTATACTTGAATCCCCTCATTATGAAGGCCAAAAATACCATTTGCCTTCTTCACTACTAACTGCCCTTGAATGTTTGAGGTGTACAAGGTCACACAGGTCTTGTTGCACCTCCCCCTTTCCCAAGGATGTGAAGGCATTAGACAAAGTGCAAAAGAGGTTTATGCAGCGCAGGCATTTAGGTCAAAGGGCATATTACTGAGCTGTACGATTCTCTATTCAGTATTCTATGTTCTGAAATGGTTCCAGGGTTGAGACACTTCAGTTATGAGGAAATATCGAAGCAGTTGGGACTGTTTTTGCTGGAGTGGAGAAGGCGAGGAGAAGATTTGATTGAAGTTTTCAAAACCATGAAAGGTCTCGACAGAAAGGATAGAGGGAAACTGTTCCCGCTCATAAAAGGATAGAAAGCCTGAGGCACAGGTTTAAAGAGTTCTGAAAAATAAGTAGTAGTGAGGGGAGAAAAAATGATTTCAAGCAATGTTTAGTTAGGGTCTAGAATGCACTACCTGGAAGTGTGGTGTTGGCAGGCTCAATTGAGACATTCAAGAGGGCATTAGATTATTCTTTAAAAAGAAGCAATGTGCAAGGACTGTGGAGTAATAGCAGGAGATTAGCATTAAATCAGGATGGTCAGGCAGCCAACGCAGCCAGAATTGGGCGGTCTGCTCTGTAACAATTCTGTTATCCTGTGAACTTGTCAAGGCAAAGGACTTTACTATTCTTGTTGCAAAGAGATGATTACTAGCAAGTGAAACTGACTGAAAGCAATTGTTTTCTAACTACATTCCAGAGACTGTTCAGGATATACAGAAAGTTGTGCATGATTTTTGGCATTCCCACTGGTCCAGAAGAGTAAATAATGCATATAGCACAAGATAATCAGCGATATTCCTGGATGATCCACTAGTCTGCGGATGTGGTGACACAATGGAAGAAGTCATTACAAAATCACAATTAGAATCTAGTGTCATTGTTAGAGAGAGCTAGCCAGATGGGCCTGAATCTGAAGGACAAAAAGATGCAATTCAAGGTGCCTGATATCAAGTACTCAGTTAATATTCTGACAGCAAAACGACTTCACCCAGAACCCAACAAGACAAGAACTGCAGCAATCAACAGATGTGAAAATAATGCAACAATTTGTTGGATTCAGGAATCATTTCGTAAAGTTTTTGCCTCATTTTGTCATCAGTATGTGAAGCTGTACACCAGCTCTGTGCAAGGACATGAAGTGGCTTTCAGGCATAGTACAAAAAGCAGCTTTCACTAGAATCAAACAACTATTGATGACCATGCCAGTGCTGAGGTACTCTGATGTTAATGAACAAGTCATCTAGCAGTGCAATGAGACATGACCTGGAGCAACCCTTACTCAGCAAGGAAGACAGGTTATATTTGCATCCGAAGTGCGAATGTAAACCAAATGACACTATGCTCCGATAGAGTGCCTGACTTTTTTCTTTCCTTGTGAGCATTTTGGGGGATATGATGGCGTGGAAGGGTAAGAGATTGGAAAAGCAGTGGCGGGAGATAAGTGATCAGGAAAAGGGCAGTGGGGGAAAGAGGAGCAGGGGAGGAGATTGGAATCTAGGAAAGAACCCTAGGGAAAGGTGATGAGCAGGATTAAGAGTTAGGGAAGTTTAGAAGGTAGATAGAGAGGAAGATGGCCTCCCAGTTCCTGGGCTTTCTTCGTCACCCACCCCTACCGCACCTCCTGGTTCCTTGTTGGTCATTCCACCCCAACCCCAGCTTCTGGGACTGTTTACTTCCCACTCCAGGGCTTCTCCCACCACCACCACCACCACCACACCGCCCCCTCCGCCCCCAACTCCGCACCACCTCCAACCCCATGTTGCACACTCCCTTCCCACCATTGCAGCCAGTCCAATATCATGTGCCCTTCCCTGCGCATGCAGTGATGCATTTGTGCCTGATGTTGCATGAAAAGTCTATTGCAATGACATCAGTGTTTAGAATGGTGCATCCCTGAATAAGCACACATACATAGTTGCCTGCAGTTGCTGGTGTCAGCAAAAACTGCCTTTAATCGGTACCTGTTTGGAACAGATAAAGTGACAGTGGAATCCGACCAGAGGGCACTTCAAAACATTACACACAACCTGCTTCTATCTGCTCCAAAGCAACTGCAAACTGTATTATATTGTTTTGCAGAGATATGATCCGGATGTGACATGTAAACACAGGAAACAGACGTACATTGACAATATGCTGTTGGGAGCAGCAGGCCCTATTAAGGAATTGAAGTGGCCAAAACAGAATGTGCTTTCTTCCAGATTTGATGACAAGCAACAGGTCTGGAAGTTATCAAACTGACAAGAATATTAACTCTGAAAGTCAAACATATTACTCAAATCAAGTAAATTATGCAACAAAATGTAACTGTCCAAGTGCTGCCAGAAGTACTGATGTAAGGATGGCCTGAAAGCATTGAAGACACACACTGTTGCTCTAAGAGAGCTTTGGACATACAAAGATGCAGCAGTTAAGATGGTGTAGAATCCAGGAAATGAGAAAAGAGATGCTGAAGCAGATTGATGCAAGTGATCAAGAAACTACATCTAATCTGAGGAAGACAAGAGAGCTGTTCTACTAGCCAAACATGTGCCATGAGATTAAGGATCATATCAGGTAGTGCAGTGTTTGTAATGAATACCAAGCTAAGCAAGATAAAGATTCGCTGATGACAAACATCCCAAACAGGTCATTGATGAAGCATAGAGTAAACCTTTTCACTCCATTGGAAGCTAATTACTTGTCACCATTGATGACCATTCTGACTACATGGGAGTTAGATGAGCTGACATCAATAACCCCAAATAAGTTTGCACAACATGTGAAAGTGCACTCCAGCCATAATGGATTCCTAACATCGTGATGTGTGACGCTGGAGAATACAGCTATTTGTTATGATCCAAGCTGATGGTCCCACTGGAAGATTCTGGAGGAATGAAATCTGGCCTGATAGATCATAGTTTTATTTCATTTTAGTTAACCTGGTAATCAGAAACATAGACACACAATGCTGCAGAGTTTACTCAACAACAGAAGAGTTTATTCCACAAGAGATGAAAACAAATATACAACAAACAAGACTATTGTGATAAAGAAACAGTTTAGAGAAATCTAAAAACAAACAGTGTAAGGGACAACATATCATTCCCTTCTGGACTATGAAAGGGAAAGGAAGTTGGACAGCTATGTAGTTGAAATAACAGCAGTACATTTTCACAACTTGGGAAAAATAAAGTGGTGCACATTATCAAGACTTTCATATTTTTGTGCAAGACAGCGTTTTTGTTGGAACAGTGAGATTGACATATTATTGAGTCAGTGTAGCACCAAAGGCTTTTGGGTTCCAGAAAAGCTACCTTACACCAGTACTTGAATTGGCTAATTCATCCTGATCTGTAAGTGCAAAGTAGCCAGAGACCTCCAGAGGCAACAAACTGACAATATCTCTCTCCCTTCATTTGATGTGAGTGGAAGGGCAGAAAAAGAACAGAAAACTTTAAAAAGAATGAATCCTAACAACAACAGACCAAGGTCCATTTGATCAACTACTGAAGTGAAGAATGACCATTGTTTACAAAAAAAAGGCATGTCAACATTGCTACAAGTCCCAAAGAAACAAACTGTAAAAGATCATTTAAACGCACCCTTATGATCACGACTTTGGATCATCAGAATTTTGTTCCTGTTGCATATCAGTTCCCTACTTTTTTCCGCTCGGTGTTGAATCTCTGTCCTTTTTACTATTTTATTCATGAATGAGTGTGTGTGTGTCTGGAGTGGGGTTGGGATTTAACAGGGCTATAGTCTAAGTTGTATAGTAGTAGATCAGAAATTCTCATTTCTCAGCCATTTATTAAAGAAGTGTATTTCCAGTGTTAATGATAAAACTTGGTATAAATTACTTTTGCCCTAAATTAAAGTCAGTCAGGTAAATTGGTTATTTTGGTGATTTATTTGGGATTTTATATATTTTGTAATGGCTTGTGGAACAGTAAACTTATTATCAGTGTACTTTTCTCTTTCAAACCATGACAACAGCAAAACAAAGTTTACAATCTACTTAATAACACCAGCAGTTTACAGAGATTCAAATGCAAAACCTTACCCCTCTGTGTCAAGATTTTAAGTTTGACTTAACTGATCCTCCCTTCTATCTTGTGAAATCTTCTATTATGATTACTCACAAAACTGAGAGCTTAAACTTTCTCATCTTTTAATCATTGATTCCCTTAACTGCTCTGAAAAACTCCTTTCTAGGACAGAGAAACTACACTTCCTTTTGGCTACAGTCAGATCTCTCACGAACTGCCCTATAAACTTTTAACCTCTAGGTTAGATGTATTTGAGTTCTTTAAAAGTAAAATTAATCCTTGATCATTCTGTACTGAAAATAACTTAATGATCTTCAATATTTATTCTATCCATCCAAGTGCAAACAATTTTTCATTAAAATTCCAGTTCGCTGATACATGCTAGATTAGAGCACTGGTCCATAAGGCCAGTCTGATCTAGCTTTTTTTGTTTTTTTAAAAAAATGTTTTGATAGAAAGGAATATTTTCATTGTTTATTGTGCATATTGGGGAACTAGTTAGCCTGCAAACAATAGTCATGTACTTGTTTATGAAGAGGAGATATTTGGAGAAATGCAGTTTTATTTGGTATATTGTTTGGCTTGCCATACCTCTCTTATAAGTGCCTTTGTGTGCCGTTCAGAGTTAGCTGTGGAACAATGGGACATATAATAAATAATCATATGTTACAGTTTCTCCATCTTAATTGCAGAACCCACTATAATTGCCCAGCAGCATCTTCAAAGATGGAAATGGAGATCTGTACATTGAGGCTGAAGGATTATCTGTATATAATTAAGTTAGTCATTTTCTTTCTCTTTGGAATTCTGAAACAAGGAAAAAGTAAGAATTTTATTCTCACTGGGAACAGATGAAGGAGCAGGCCTTTCAACTCCTTGATCCTCCTCTGTCATTCAATTAGATCATGGCTGATAATCTACCTCAATGACATTGTCTTGCATTATCCTCGTATCGCTCGATGTCATTGGTATCCAAAAATCTGTCAATGGCCTACCTTTAAATGGCCTATCCTTTATTTGTAAAAATTGTCTCTTGCTTCCAGACTATGATGGATTAAATAGGGTGTAACAGAAGGAGTGGAACCTCTAGTGAGAGAAGGATCATCTAATATCGAGCAATCTTTTATCCTATCGTGTTTACACTCTCGGACAGGATAAGTTTTCAAAAGAATTTGTCCGGGTACAAGAAAAATATTCAAGGAAACTGACCTGTGCAAATATTGCCGTGAGTTTGTACTTTGAGTTCTTCTGCTTATTTTTGGTTATTAAAACTTGACTAGAATATTTTATTGCTTGAAGTTCAACCCCTAGCTATTGCTAAACTTGCTGGGCTCAGCTAGGACAACAGTAAGGGTTCAACATTTGACTGCTGTGCTTCTGAGTTAGGAAAGGAAAAAATAATGAGTGTTCCTGTTCCGAACCAATCCCGACATTAGAAAGTGCATACTATGGATGTCAACAACATCAGACTTTATGATGGCATCCATAATGGAAAACCTCCCCACTGTCAAGACCAAGACTCACTGACGAATAATAGTCAAATTTAACAAGATATTAGTAGACCACAGGTGCCTATGAAATAACAGTACATCAACTCCTTCAATTGATATGGAGAAGAGGAGTTCATTCTTGAGAAAATGAATTTAAAACAAATACAGCAGCTTGGACATCTAGTGGGCTTCTGAACACAAGTATACTGAGCAACACTTGGTCCTGTTACTTGATAGGGCAAAGGTTACCTCGAAAACAAAAGTTATTCTTATTCATTGGCACTTCATTTCCCACAAGAAAATTCGTAAGCTTTTTCCTAATGACCTCTTGTATATTATTTTCTAGGAGAAGTCTTCTTTTACAGTTATCACCATTTCCCCTGACCCCCCTTCCATGCCAATCACACTTCTGAAAAGAAAATAATATGGCAGCTCAGAAAGCCCTCTTTCCCTACAAATTTTGACAAGCTGCAACTTGTGGGACTCTGTACTAAAGTCAGAGTTGATCAATTCTAGCATTTTCTTGTTCCACAAGCTGTCCACAAGGTAAGCAGAGCACTGTACTAATTTAGAAGTTTCTCCATGCCTGGGGCAATGACCCAGGTTGATGTGCTGGTATATATTCATCAAGACAGTACAGGGATCTAAGATGGCACATGAAGTGTTTCCTGAGGAGGAGTGGTTTCCGTACTGATTATATTAAAACAAAAGTAATTGGCAATAAAAGAAGATTGACAGAAATACTTAGTAAACCCATAATGTTCACTGAATTCAAACCATAACACAGGCAAAATGACTGGATGTCAAGTTGTGTGAAGGGAATAAAGGTGACGTCTACTTGAGTCTCAACAGAGAGCAGAATTTTCCTGGACCCACAATAGCCATATTGGAAGCAGGTGTTGAAGGGTTTGCTGCAGAAAAAAAGTCAAGGGTCACATCAGGAGGGCTCCCATCAGAGGGTCTCCCAGACACATAGCCACTGACAGGAAAGCTTCCCTTGGGCATGCGGGCTGGGAATCCGATCAGCTGCCCAGATCGTACAATCCAGAGTGAACTAAGCTGCTTACAGACTCAAAATCAAAAAGCAGTATACTGCAATTGCTGGAAATCTGAAATAAAAACAACAATTGAAAAATAAGTCAAGTAATATCTGTGCAGAAAGAGAAAAGTGAAGTTAACTTTTCAGGTTAGTGACCTTTCATCAGAACTGAAATATCAACACTCCTTATCTCTCTATGCAGATGCTGATTAAATAGACAAGTTTTTTTCAGCATTTTCTGGATTGGGTCATGGGCATGCTGGCAATTTGTCAACAGTGGAACAGCTTCATGGAGGTGATCTCGCTGCGGCTAGCTGAAAGACTAATGTCAGAGGCTGCCAGCTGGAAAAGCCATGTCCATGGCCAAAACAACACACCCAAGCAACCTTGCCCTCTGCTTCAAGGGGCCAAGCAGCTCCCCTCCTGATCATTTTAACATTTAATGCACACCCACAAGGCATCTCAATGTTGAGGCATCTTCACGGTGCCCCGCCTGATGCAGCAGTGCCCACTTCTCCCCGTGGCACAGCCGAGATTACAGAGCTGCCACCCCGATTAACATCACTGCTAATTCCGAGGCTGTCCCTAGAAGATTGCTCCTTTGAATGGGCTGCAGCTTGGTGTCAACTGTGAGTCTGAATCCTGCTGGAAAATCTAGCCCTCAGTATTCATATGAATTCATTTTATTTTAATTTACTGATTCTTGGGACGTTGCCATCTCTGGTTAGGCCAGCATTTGTTGCTCATTCTTAATTGCCCTTATGATGTTGATGGTAAGTCACCTTCCTGAAGCACTGCGGTCCCCATCCACAGTATGGCTAGGAGGGAGGTCCAGGATGTTGATCCAAATGACACTGAAAAAAAAAGTGATACTTTTCCAAGTCAGGATGGTGTGCAGGTTGAAGGTGAACTTTCATGATTGAAAGGTACTCCATGCATCTACAGCTCTTGTTGTCACCTTTCAGTTATCTAGCCACATGGAGACATCATATTTTTTGTCCAATCAATGTTGATTTCACCATCAAATACACATTCCTACTGGCAAGCATTAGTCTGAAAAATTGCCAGCTCTGTGGAGATGGAGTTGAAGGTGAGTCAGGCTGGGAAATTAAGTCGTGAGTGGCTGCATTATCAGACGGCTCCCCTATGAATTCCTACCTCTGGAAAACCTACCCAGGGTGGGTGCAGAACAGGGTCAGCTTCTCTCTTCACATCCATGAACACGCCATGTTTAGGGGTTAGTTAGTAGTGGCACTGGCATCTCCCCCTGCCTCACTGGAGAAGTCCATGCTACACTTTGAAAGCCGACTCACTGGAGATGGACTTGCAGTGGCGGGCCAGGTGGCTATTGGAGGGAGACATGGGAATCAAACAATCTTGCTTGGAGACTCCATTTGATGACTTCACTGCAGGCAGCTGAGGGTACATACATTTGGGATGCCATCAAACTTTCCTACCTATCTCAGCAGAACCCATCTCATGATGGGACTCCCGTCCTGACAGAATGCAAATGCTTTAATGTGACGTTCGGTGTCAGGGAAGTTGCTGCACAAGAACCCTTTCAAGAAGTTGCCTTCTGGCAATTTGAACTAGTAGAAACACTGAAGACAGGGCAGCCTCCAGATCTTCCATACAGATTGACATTGGTGTGTTGGTGACCACTGGAAAATACAATACATTTTATCTTCCCTAATGGTGATTTGTATGACAGAAAATGTTTATTTTACCCAATTTCAACACATTTTAAAAGACTGAAAGTCACAGGAAACACCATTGAAAAATCGTTCTCTAGTTTTTGACCTGCATTTCAATACATGTAACAGATCTACATCCTGGATAAAGTCTCTAATATTAGACAAGGTGTAATAGTCAGACAGGCAAAGAGGTTCTAACCAGCAAAGCAATGGTTGATGTACACATCGATTTCCCGTTTCATATATCTTTAATGAGGAGATTAAATACTTGTTTGGGAAGCATAGGCTGACTTAAGTGGTGCTTGTCAGTACAGCATGTAATGCTGAAGACCCTGTGATATCTCCCCAAGGTGATGAAGTTAATTTGGGTTTCATTGCACAGCCCATTTACAGAGTCACATGTTGACTTTTCCTATAGCCAGCGAACCCATCAGAGAAAGGCAAATACAAATGTTATTATGCACACTTGGATCCCTGGGGCATTTACTCTCTCCTGCAGCTATCTCCTGATAGATAGTTAAGGTTCAAAATCTTTGAGCAAAAAGAAATACAGTCAAATAAATTCTACAATAAATAGTTGCCTTCCAATGTAAACAATTGAAATATGACAGAACATGTAAAAATTTTCATTTCTGTCATACAACAAGTACATTCACTAAAAGTAAAAAAACACAATGGTGTCAGATAACTAAATGTTCATTGAAATTTCGTATTAAAAACCATTAATGGATTTACATAAGTTTATGAACTCCATATAAATGGGGACAAAAAGATAAACTTTCAAGTAAGCTGCTTTCATTACATTTTATTTTCCTCTTGGTAAGAAGAGGGGATGCTGAACCATTTGTAACGAGAGTATGAATTTCATACTTTTCCTGTCCTGTGCTTGGAACATAACATTGTGTTTGTATTAGATTGGAATGGACAAGCACATCGTCATTACAGAACTCAACGAGCAGGAGAGGAACCACTGCAGGGAGCATTCGAATGTAGAGCAGAGTGCTCATTTCATGTTTTGGGTTAGGGCATTGTCATGGTGGCTACCTCAAAGGAACCAAGAATCTTTAATGTTTTATTTATTTTAGCCAGAAAATAGAAACAATGTGCCATTATTTGCACTTGTCATTTAAAGTAATATCACAATGAGATGTAAAAATCTGCCTGATGTGGATTACAATGACGTATTTGCATGCTTTTTGTTCCTTAGCTCTAGCCAACTCAATTTTGTCATTGAACCCTCGGATATATCCTCTTTTTCCCAGTACTGAAATGCTCTTAACTAAAAATGCCATCCCTCCTTTTTTATAATTTCCTATATTTTATGAACAGTTAAAAGCACCAGGGAGCCAACTTTCACATGAGATAGCGTTGAAGAACAAAATTTGCAAGTGATTGGAGGTACTCTGGAGTGTGTTTGGTGTTGTGGAGAGTTCCCAGAGCAGGACAGATCCTGGCAAAGAGCATTAATACATCCTTACAGGAGGTAGTGACCTGCCCACACAAAGATTGGAAAGGCTGGACATGGGGCAGGAATCAACAGTGCCTCAGGATGTCCAGCACAAAGGGAGACGAAGCAGAAGCTGCTGACAGGGAAAGCTCTGCATATTATTTTCTGCTAGTTTAGACCCAGACTCCTTGGTGCTCCTTGCCAATGACTGGAGGTTGTCTGGGAGGCTCACCCATATAATCAGCACTGTGGTCTGGATGTCCATCAACACTATCCAAATGCCATCTGTACAAGCTCCTCATCTGTGGCAGACTTTGTTGCATTTTTATCCTCCCAAGAGTATATACAGAAGCCATTTTTTCTTGGCCAGGCTGGAGTCAGTTTCATTCAATAACTTGCCACTTTGCAAATCGCCACTCTATTCTAGCCTCCACAACATGTACAAAGTCAATGCCTGAGCTGGCAGCTATAACATATCAGATCATGTGATTTGGACTCTTGATCAAGCCTTTGCTGATGCGTTTTCTTTCTTCTTGGACTTGCTGTGATAGGTTAAGTGCCAGTTCTTAGATGTTTGAAAGCAGAAATGCAGAAGAGGCAGTTGGATGCGAGGGAAATAGATTAGGGTGGGATGCAGGGAAGCCTTTGGTCACACAATTTGCAATTCACACACTGCCAGAGAGCAGGATGAGCGTGAGCTGCTGTTAGTGACACTGGATGCCATTGTACCTCACAGCTGACCTCATCATGTTGAGCACCATCCCTTTGTCAGGCTTAGGAGATTCAGGAACCCTTTCCAACACAACCTCAACTGTTTAGTTCTACTCCCATAGATTGTGTGCTTCCCAGTCCCGCAAGACAGAAAGGCAAGAATTTCAGTGGCTGTGTAGCAGTAAGTGATGTGCACTAACTAAGTAGCTGGAGAGATGTAGAGGAACAGGGTGGGAGACTGGCTGCATTGGGCTAGTTGTGACAGTGATGCATCTGGATATTAGGTCTGGAGTTTAAAGTTCCAGGGATTGTTGCTTAGTGACTGATGGGTTTGGGGGCTTGGGACCAGGTAGGTAATTCTATCTGAAAATGCATTCACTGATGTTCACTAGCCAGGTGAATTCAATGGACCTCTGAGGGCACTGATGTTCTGGCCATCTTGTGGTACAGTTGCAGTGTCCGCATCCCTGGATTCAAGTTCCACCTGCTCCAGAGACATGTATTGACATCTCTAAATAAGTTGTTTAGAAAAATAGGTTAAATTAAAAATAAACTGATGTTGGGTTCTAAGTTTTAGATGCTGAAACTTAGAGCCATCTTGGCCCCCTGTAAGACAATGGCATCTTTCCTCCTGTCACTTCAATTGACACTAAGAGCAGAAGGCTAGCCACATCACATTTCATCAACACAGTTCTACTCAGCTACTAACAGCAGAGGCAGCCAGACACAGAAACCATTCAGCCCAATACAATTTCCATGCATACAGGGTAGCAACAGAGTTAGAATCAGCATGTTTTATGTGCTGCCCAGCTTCATTAGAACCAATGCAGATTGGTTACAAATCCCAAGCATTAAAACAAACCGGGCGAACTAATATTTATCCCAAAAACCTCCATTACTAATTGACTCAGGTAGTATATAAGAACCTGAATATTTACTTTTTCTTCTTTTAAATAAAGCAAGGATTTATTTTTAAAATCAGTCATAACTTTGTGCAGTTCCTATTAATACAATTGAGAATGGTTATCGCACAAAAAGGCATTTTATGCCTATACATGCTGTTGCTCACCATTAAGAAAATCTGGTTTAAAACAATTTACAATTATTTAAATGACTGAAAAATTTGTGCTTGATAATTTAATCATCAGGATTTACCCTGGAATTTTACGTGTAAAATGCATCTTCCACTGCCTTTCCACTTGAAGAACAGAACAAAATGTGAAGGGTCTTCACATGCAATCAGTAGAAGCTGACAAGTTTTACCTGGAATCATAACAGTTTGGCTTGATCTGGACAGAGAATCTTTAGACAGCATAAAAGATTACAGCAACATTAAAAAAAGATTTGAGGCACAAGTCACTTTTCAAATCTCAATCTTTCACACTGGTTGAGTCAATTGCTCTGATTTAGACAATTGTGCTGGCCTCTAGAGGGCACAAAATTCATTGAACTTCTACCCATTTGTTTAATCAATTTTGCCTCTGAAATTTCCTGAGTTCACCGACATAAACATGAATGAAGTTTATTTACACTTAATCCAACTATCAATTTGGAAGAAAATAGACATAATAAAAATGTTCAAGACAAGGTGGAAATAATACAGTTTACATAAATGAGCCTCAGAATTTATAATAAAAATTAAATCATTACAACCGTTTAGGAAACAAGATTCCTTTATTTATTCCTAACTTGAAAGTTCATCTATTTTGTCAATAAGTTCTATTAATTTTTTCTTTTGTTAAATTAGTGCGTGTTCCAGGTCATTTTAAATAAAATTGGTCTGAGCAATGCCCATTTAATTTGTATGACAGGAGCAAACACATTGAGACTTTCCATAGTTACACTGCCGTTGGTGAGGAATACAGACTAGGGAGCTCTACTATGACTGAAGCGTTAAAGATTGACAGTTTTGATACTAAGTACTTTGGAAGGATCTTGAGTATCAAATAGCAGGACCGCATCACTAATGAGACGGTGCACGAATGAGAGAAAAGAATCCCATTTTCAACTACTGTGTGGAGTAGACACATCAAATGGTCAGACTATGTAGCTGGAATGGGAGAAGATAAAATATTAAAGACAATTGACAGTTTTGATACTAAGTAGATAAGAAAGACCTTCGGCATTGAATAGCAGGACCTCATCATTAATAAAATAGTGCATGAACGGACAAATAGAATCCCACTATCAATTGCTTAGTGGCACAAGCCTTGAAATGGGCAGATAACCTAGCTGCAATAGGGAAAGAAACAGTGAATGGGAAGTGATGGTAGGCATCCAAAAGGGAACAGTAATGGAGAACCTAAGTGAAATGGATCCAAAAGGAAATTACATAGGCTCAAAACCCAATAGGCTGATGGCTTTTTTGAATAATGGTAGAGTCAAGAAAAACAGCAAGCTACAATGATCATGAGGAAAAGACCTAATTTTCTCCTTGTTAAACATACAAACAAACACAGAAGAATGATTGGCAGCAAAGGACAGACTGATCTATCGTGCCTGCTTCATATTCATGCCGCCTCAAGCGTTGTGACTGGACACTTCCTAACCCTCTCACAATCAAATTATCTCCTGGGACAGGCTAGAAAAATGCTGAAAGAAACCTGGGGCTAATAAGCAAAATAAAAATCAAGAAACTGCCTCTCCAAACCCCTGAGGCTATCAAAACCAGTGCAGGAGATCACATTGACATTGTATGAATATGTTCTTAGTTTAACCACTTGAGTAGAATCTCCCCTGCAACTTTAAAGTACAGTGGGCTGAAGAAAGCAGTACAACATTGTCTTCAAGGTAATAAGGGATTAACAATAAATGTTGGCCTAGCCAGTAACACCTACATCACATGAGCAAAAATAAAAAGATGTGTTCATCACCACTTCCCACCAGTTTTGTTTTCCTCTCTCTCTCGAAGGCACTCACTCCATGTTGGGATATAGCTCGACATGTTTCTATTGCTCCCTGGTAATTTGCTCATGTGAAAGTATCCACAGTGTACTTCAACATGGAGGACATCACATCTTAGCAAAACCCTATCCTCAGCAGAAATACACATCCATGCACTCTGATTCCCAGCCCCACCCCATCCCCTCAGCCAGATGGAGGGATGAAGGCCAACCACATCCTTTGTACTGGGTCAACGAGATCAGATTAAATGGCAGAGCCATAATCAAATCAGCGACCGTGGCTCAGTAATTACCTGAATAAGTTGAACCATACGGTAGATTTAACCAAACATGCTTATTACTGCTGTTTGTAAATTACTCTGAATCAGCTTGGTTACCTGCAGAGCCATTTGGCTTTTTTGAAAGGCCAGTGAGCATTGGCATCTATCAAATAAAGCACAACTGTGCCTCTTCATTTGTCAGTGGATATGTCAGAGAAAGGTTTCATAGTTTAAATAGCTGTATCCAACCTGATATACATTTGTAATAATTCTGCTTGGAGTTTACAGGCCACCTGCCACAAATTTAGAGTTCCTAGAAAACATAAGACACACCCCATCTAATTGAAGAAAATCCAGCTCAAATCAGAGCACAAGAGGAGGACATTGGCATCTTTCTCAGTTCCTTAAAAGAACTGTCCAATTAGGCCCACTTCTTTTTTCCCCATAGGCCTGGAGGATTTTGTCTCTTCTTTTGCAAATATTTATCCAAATGTTTTGAAATGTTATTGTTCAATTTGCTTCCATCCACCATTCAAGCATTGTATAGTCAGTTCTGCTAATAATGTGATAATTTCATTCCTGCGCAACAAAGCGTTATAGGAAATCATGCTATAGAAATTATAGGGCCTATGGGAAAAGTAGGGTGAAGGACAGACCACCAAAGAATATTATTCAAAATTGCACAAAAATCACTCAAAAGGCTAACACAAAGGATTGCACAATTTGAATAAATGATTAATTCATATCTAATAATTAAATAAAAGTAAATTTAACACCTTACCTTGAGAAAATGTCAAGATGACTTGATGGGGGAGGTGGTTTTGAAGTTGCTCTGTTGTTAATGCAGGGGCTGAGGGTTGTCTTCGTCGTTATCACCATCATCATCATGTACCAGACCATTTTAGAGGGCTTCATTTAGCTTTATTTTTGCTCTGTGTGAGGAGTTTCCTGGAACTGTCAACCCAAGCAGCTGACAGTCACATGAATGAACTAGATACGTGGGAATTACTGACTTGCTCGTTTGCCATCACGAACATTCGCACTCGGATAGTCAGTCAGGAAACCTGAGCTATTAAACTCAAAGCCATAATTAATTAGAACATTCTGTAACAGAGGAAAATGATGACCAGGTCTTGCCAGAATAACTTGTAACATTTCTGCCAACTATGGAGAGTCCCAAACACAAAGACCATTACTCAATAAATTGCTTATTATGCTTCTACCACCCTCTCAATATGGTATGATCTACCTGTACTGAATGCAAAACAAAAAACTTTTCACTGTACATAAGTACATGTGACAATAATAAATCAAATAAAAGAAAAACAGGTTGATGTTCTGGACAAAATGGACTCCGCACTGAAAACTTGAAATTAGCAAAACAAATCTCAATTCATCAACATTCAAATTATACTTAGTTTTAAAAACAGTCAAATATTGTATGCCAGGACAGCACCAGGTCTACAGACAAACGAGGTGTCAAACTATTGAAGTTAGAACACAGCTTTATGTGCATGCTCAACAGCAAAAGAAGCATTCAACAAACAAGATTTTAAGAGAACAACTGCATCACAAATGCCAGTCTGCAGCCAACTAAATTTGCTCCATCCAATGTCCTGAAACAACTGAATGCACTGGATACAGCAAAGGGTATGGACCCTGATATTCTGGCAGTTGTACAGAAGACATTTGATCTAGAGCTAGCTGTATCCCCTAACCAAGCTGCTCCAGTACCTGACAGTGTGGAAAATTTCTCAGATGATATCCTCTCCTCCAAATAGGATAAGGTTCTGCCATGAACACTTGGTTCTTGGTTACAGCCTTGATTATAACATGGAAAAGAGGATGCTACGGTAACAGCCCTTGACATCAAAGTAGCATTTGACCAAATGTGACATCATGGGGGACTGGCAAAATTGGAGTCAATGGATATTGGTGAAAGCTCAGAACTTGTTGCAGCCATACCTTGCACAAAATAAGATGGCTATGGTTGTTGGAAACCAATAATTTCATCCCTGATTCTCTGTTTTGTACTCGGTTTCTGATCAGTTTCAATACCACTAACCTCTCCTGGATTTGTTCCTCACATCACTTATGATCTGGATTGTTCCTTTAGCTTAACATCTAAATAAATTATTTTTAGGTAGGGAATGACTCAGGGATCCAACAGCAAAACCTCAGCATTATACACAAAATCAGAAATTACTGGAAAAGCTCACAGGTTTGGCAGCATCTGTGGAGACAAAGCAGAGTTAACATCTTGGGTCCAGTGACCCTTCTTCAGAACTGGACCTGAAACATTGCCTCTACTTTCTCTCCACAGATGCTATGTTTCAGGTCCAGTTCTGAAGAAGGGTCACTGGACCCAAGATGTT